CCTTCCCCGAGCATCTTCTCTTCTCCCATCGCAATCTTCAACACCTTGTAATGGTTGAAGGCACTCCTCATCCGCCTGCTCCATTCCTCTATATGAAGCCATCCAACGCCTCAATCTTGGATGGCGGCGGTTCAAACGACTTTTCAGCTCCCACTCCTCTTCAAGCAGCATCTCTTCCTCTCTCATTCCTCTTGTCCTCCGTAAATGATGAGTCTCAGCTCCCCCCTTGCTGTCCACAATGTAGATTCACAAATTTTTGACAGGTTGAAGGCACTCCTCATCCGCCTGCTCCATTCCTCTATATGAAGCCATCCAACGCCTCAATCTTAGATGGCGACGGTTCGAACGACTTTTCAGCTACCACTCCTCTTCCAGCAGCATCTCTTCCTCTCTCATTCATCTTGTCCTCCGTATCTGATGAGTCTCAGCTCCCCCCTTGCTGTCCACAATGTAGATCCACAAAATTTTCACAGGTGTCGGCGCCAACGAAATTTCGACAGAGTTTCCCCTTAGCGTCACATCCAACCTACAGAACTCCACTTAGGCACACCCACAGGCCATGGTGGATCTGGAAGGGTCTTCACACATTAGTAGTCTCTCCACAAAGTCTTTAATCAATCTGATACCACTTGATAAGATTAAGAACGGGGTCTAGGAAGAGCAGGGGCCAAAATAACTCAAAATCGTTGGACTCTAATTCTGGACAGAAATGTCGACTTTACAAGAAACGCTGTCAACAAAAGGATAGCTATTAGAACTTCACAAAAACCAAATGTGTTGTAGCTCTAAACCGTGTCTAAAATTCTCAAATAAAATCGCATCAGCAGGTGAAGTAAAACGTGAGATATAAATTTTGGCGCACTAAGGGGGTATGCTGGATCTGAAACTTAACTCAATTACTATATTCAACCTAGAAACACACACAAAGAGGATTAGAGTAGCAAGAAACCAGGTAGGAGAGGATGAGGAGGCCGAGAGGGAAGGTCTCAAGGGATTCCCTAACCAAGCAAACCCCAAAAGCACACAACACTCCTTCCCTATAGCAACCGAACTTTGACATTTGTGTTTTTCCCAACCCATGCCATCCACCTCACCCAACTTGGCCACACTTGCCAACCTGGTTTGGCTTCTCCCAACCACTTGGCAGCAACTACAGTGATAGTGACGAATTTTCCCAACCCCTAATGGTCTATACTCCATGGAGGGTCACCCCACAAATTCCCAAAGTTGCCGCAACGAAATATCAAAAGCATACGAACCTTAATCGTTCGTAACTTTCTCGTCCTTGTTCCGATCGCGATGATTCTTGGTTCGACGGAAAGCTCTTGCATTGGTAGGTAGCAGGTGGGGCAGGCGGGTATAGGGTGGGGCAGCAGGTTACAGGTGGGGCAGCGGGTTACAGGTGGGGCGACGGGTTTCAGGTGGGGCAGTTGGTTACGGATGGGGCAGCTAGTGACAGGTGGGGCAGCGGGTTACGGGTGGGAAGGCTGGTGACAGATGGGGTGGCAGGTGCGGCAGCGGGTTATAGGTGGCTGGAAAAGGAAGGCGGTGAAGGCCGCCATGGAGGAGGAGATCCGCAGCCTCATCAGCAACGGCACTTGGGAGCTGGTCGAACGCCCACCGGGGGTGAACATCATGAAGAACCGGTGGGTGCTGACGACGAAGTACCGCATCGACGACACCGTCAAACGCAAAAAGGCGAGGCTGGTCGTGAAAGGCTTCACGCAGGTGTATGGCACCGACTACGACGAGACGTATGCGCCGGTGGGCAGCTACGTCAAGCTGAGGATTTTCCTCAGCATTGTCGCCGTCCTCGGCTTCAACCTGATGCAGGTGAACATGAAGAACGCCTATTTGCAGAGTAAACTTAACAGGTTGCTGTACATGTACCAGCCGGACTACTTCAACGACGGGTCCGGCCGGGTGTGCAAGCTGCTGAAGAGCCTCTACGGGCTGAAGCAGACGCCGCTATTGTGGTACAAGGCTCTCAACGACGTGTTGGTCGGCGCCGGGTGGAAGAAGAGCCAAGTCGACGAGGCTCTGTACTTTAAGGTTGGCGACGACAAGGTGACCTGTTGGGTGCTGGTCTACGTCGACGACCTGCTCGCCGCCAGCAGCAGCACCGTGATGCTGAAGGAGCTGAAGGAGCTGCTGGAAGCCGCCTTCGAGCTGCGCGAGGTTTTGCCGGTGCAGAAGTACCTTGGCTTGGAGATCGTGCGTGACAAGCCGGCGCGGAAGTTGTGGCTGCACCAGCTGGGCTACGCCGACAAGATGCGCAGGCGCTTCATCGACGAGAAGCAAACCGAGCGCAATCCGAAGACGCCGGTCTCGGTCGACGCCTACGCCGAGCTCACCTTCGATGACGAGGAGGCATAGGAGCGCCAGGAGGAGTACCGGCAGAAGGTCGGCTCACTGCAGTTCGCGGCAACGACGACGCGGCCGGACATCGCCTTCGCCTGCAGCAAGCTGGGGAGCGGCCTCACGGTGAGGAGCGACCAGCACTGGCGCGAGGTCGACCGTTGCCTCGCCTACCTCGCCAATACGCAAGACACCGCCCTGGAGTTCGGCGGTGGTCCAGAGTCACTGGAGTGAGTCGGCTACGTGGACGCCGACGACGCCAGCAACAAGCAGAACCGGACGAGCACGGGCGGCTACGTGTTTGTCTACGGAGGGGCCGCAGTCTCCTGGTCGAGCCAGCGCATCAAGTGCGCGACGCTGTCGTCGTCCAAGTCGGAGTACGTGGCGGCCGTCGAAGCCGGCAAGGAGGGACGTCGCCTTCGCTTCCTCCTTGCGGAGTTCCGGCAGCTTGATGCCGGGAAGCCGACTGTCCTCCGGGTGGTTGACAAGTCGGCCATCACGGTCGCCGAGGGCATGGGGTTGACGGGCAACCTCAAGCACATGGAGCGGCAACAGGCCTGGCTGCAGCACATGGTGAAGCACGGGAAGTTCTCACTGCAGTACATCCCGACCACTGAGCAGCTAGCTGACTTCCTGACGAAGGCGCTGCACTATCCGGCCTTCAACCGGTGCTCCGTCGCAATCGGCCAAGTGCGGCTGGCCGACGTGGGCAACAGCGACAACGACGTGCAGCAGTAGGTGCCATGCCCTCTTGCATGGCTGGTGCGGTGACCGGCGTGCTGTGCGTTGTGTGCACGCCGACGGGCTTTTCTTCGAACAGTGCTGCCATGTAGGCTGGGGGGGCCCAAGCGTGAACGCGGCAGGGGAGTGTCAACGGGAGTAGTGTTTGGCCCCGTCCTCGCTTGGGTGGAGCCGACCGCGGGACCACGGGGCCATGGGAGGCCGCGGGACCGCTGGGCCGCGGGAGGCCACGTGACCGCGGGACTGTGGGGCCGCGGGATCACTGGGCCGCGGGAGGCCGCGAGGCTGCGGGAGCCGCGGGGTACCGCGGGAGGTCACGGGACTGCGGGGCCGCGGGATCGCTGGGCCGCGGGAGGCCGCAGGACCGCGGGAGCCGCGGGGTGCCGCGGGAGGCCGGCGACCGCAGGACCACGGTGGGCCGCGGGGCCGCGGGGGACGACCGTGGGACTGGTCATCCATGATACCCGGGCGACGTGTGCGAAGGTCGCCGGGGGTGGTTTCTGCGAGGACGACCTCGGGGGTGGTATCCCGAGGTCGACGTGGCTGGTGGGCGCCGTCACGAGTGGAGTGTCTGCGCTGGGCATGTGACGGGGAGTTGGGCGCCAACCAGCTGCACGCACCTGCGAAGCTGGTGCACCGTTGTCAGGCGGGTGCAATGCTGTGCAGCCGACTTGCTGCAGCGTTGGCACACCGCGGACTTGCAACGTTGGCAAGCCGCGACTCTGCATTGCTGGAGCGCGGTCGACCAAGTCGTGCTGGCACGCGGTCGACCGTGCTGCGTTGGCAGTCGACCAGCAGCCTTGCTAGGTCTGATGTAGTCTGTGTTGCCAATATTGATGCTATCATTCTGAATCATTGTTGTGAACTTTTGCTAGTGAAACTCTTGCCAAAGTTTCCTTGTGAACCAACAACTAGTGCAAGCACAAGTAAACAACAGAGGAACGAACGAACGCTACGATCACTCCCACTTCGTGCCTAGCCCGTAGTCTAGCTCCCGTTGTAGTAGTAATCTCCACAACGACTATATATAGGCATGACACAGGGGCAGTAACCAGGATGTTACGTGAAGGTTCTGAGGGTCGCGAAGTGTCCCGAATGGATCCTTCCCGAATTCGGTAGAAGCTGTTTGGTGTAAACCAAATAGCAATGGATTTGGTTCACACAACCTAGTTTGGTGCCTATCACTAAAATTAATATAGCAAAGTAACGAATCTATGAAATCAAGCAAAGGCATGCAAGATAAAATTGTGCTAAGCTAGATAATTTATAATAAAGCAGAATCTAGCATGTAAAGCCTAGCAAAGCCATCGTACTATCACTCGTCCCCCCCTCAGAGCTGGGTGGCATGAGATACAGCCTGCTTGACAAGAGAATCCTTGAGAGCACAGCGTGCGCTGCCCATATCAGATTTTGCAACCCAACTGTCCTCCGATGGGTCATATCCCTTCCAACGTACAAGGAACTCGAGCGTGTTGCCACGTCTGCATCGATGAGCAAGAACTCGTTCCACCTCGTACTCTGGTTCATCCTATACAAGAACAGATGGTGGTACTGTAGCGGGTAGCTGTCGTCCCAAGAACTGTAGGTTGGAGTCTTTGTAGGGCTTCAGTAGCTGAACATGGAAAGCATTGTGAAGCTTTCATGTAGCCCACTATCCAATTCAAACCCGCGAGGCCTATCCTGCTTGAAGCGGGCAGGATAGTCTCTTGCTGCATCCCTCAGGACGCCAACGAGCATGATGATCTTGTCCCGAACAGCATTGCGGTTCATCGCAGGCACACCACCCAGCGAGGGCTGACCTCGTCCTGAGTAGGTCTCAAGGGGCATTTCGACCTGCGCATATTAATAAGAAAAGATTAGTAACTAGCAAGAATATGATCAAGAACCAGGCTTACCATAGCTTACGAACATGGAGAGCTACTTACCACGACACAGAGGTAGGCGAGCTGCGGAATCTTCAACTGCACGGACGTCGCCCGGACATTGACAAACGCAGCAAGGGCGGCCTTTTCAAAAGCGACAGATGCAAACGGGCGTCCATCGTCAGACGCATGCCAGGCGTAGCCAAACCTTTCTGCACGTTACAAAACACAAGCAACAGAGAGTAAGAACATGGGAAGCACATCGAGAACAAATCCCTTCACACTCACCATGCCTGAAGTCCACCAACCAGATAGCCTCGGTTCGACGCTTCCCAGGGTGGATGTTCTCTCTTGCGAGCTCCGGCCACCTATCTTCAGGCAGCAAGCCTCCTGCACCCCACGCATAGAGACGGATTTTCTTGTGCGTGTTGGACCGCTTCGTGGCAATGGTGGCCATTGCTTCCTTGATGTACGAGGCGTTTCCCCCGACGACGTAGTAGTACTCGTCCTGCGACACGCCGATGAGGCGGTACTTCCACACAAGGTGAGGCTGCACCTCCTCGAACGTCGGGAAAAACTGCATCACATCCACAGGCGCATCAGTGATCATCCAAACGTATGTCTCGAGCGCCTTCTTCTTCGGGGAGGGTTAACAGAGAGAAAGTAGTAGAGCATTGAACATTTGTAAGTGCAATACACTAAACATAAAACGCACGACACCACCACCCGCACTTGTTGACGCGCTTACAACGATCCACAATCTACTCTACTTACCCCAAATGATTTCTTTTCCAAGGTGCTCTTCACGACAATCTTCTTGTCGTTGTCCCGCGGGAGCAGATCCATGTTAACGGCCGGGTCGTCGAGTGCCCTCTCTGGTACCCCTGACGCCGCAATAGCCTCGAGATCATTGATGCGATGCGTCAATGCGGCGCGCTCCCTCGTCATATCGTTTACCTCCTGCTTGGCCTCCTGCTCAGCGGCTTGAAGAACGTTCACCGTCCTCTGCAGATCCTCAACCCGGGCGCGCAATGAATTGTTGACAGTCACGAGGTAATTTCCACCTCCTGCCAAGCACAAGAAGGGCGGGAACATGGTGACAAGAATTAAAGGAATGTGAGAAAGGTGTTGGGCAGGTGCGTTTAGAATAATTTGCAATGCGGAATGCGTGATTAAACGGGGTAACAAAGGTAAAGGGAACACGGAGACTCACGATCACTACGAGTGCCGCGAGTTATGTTACCACCCGTAGGATCAGTGACCTCGTTCACAGCTGAGTCGCCCAGCGGGCCCATCGTCTCCTGATGGCAGACGGCAGCTTGATCGGCGGGAGCGTTGATGTTGCCAACAGTGCCCGTTACGGCGACGCCCCCATCGAAGGTAAGCGAGGTCTGCGGGTCACTTGATGTGCCCGCCACGCAAGCAGGCATGGCTTGCGTGGCGGTTGCCGCTGCTGCAGCTTCTAGAGCTGTCTGCCGACGAGTTGCGTAGGGAGCAGGAGCAGGTAAGGGTGTGGAAGTCGGGAGACTCTCGAGATGCACCTTCTTGGGACAACCCTGCTCTGCAGCAGCGTCGCGACGTTTGAGTGCCAGGCGATAGAGGCCAAGCGTTCTCTCATCCAAGCCCGCGAGCAGAGCGTCAGCATCAGCAAGCATTTTCAGAAACGGTAGGGGCAAATGGCGATTCTAGCGTGACCCCTTCGGGCTCCTCCTCATCTCCTTGGACTCTTCTAGTGATTCCATTCCCTGCCCAGTGGTTATTTCCCACGGGGGAACCCATTTTCCACGACTTGTTCTGTGGCAATGTACCCCTATATATCTCGATTTATCGCCATGTTATCGCGTCTCGACTGCCGAGGCGGGCACGTAAACGACCAGAAGTCTTCGCGACCAAGGGTAACGAATGCCATTAAAAAAAAGTTCCCGTTACAGTAACGACACCTCGGGGCGCAGGCGCGCCGTCGAGCCAGAGAATCTGATGCGCTGTATGGACCAAGGGCACCATTCAAGGCCTACCGTGGATGCTGACAGCTCAGGTTGGAGCATGCATCTGCTGCGGTTGATACACGCACTGAGGCACTCGAGAATGTTCTGGTAAGTGTGGCACTCGAGAATGATCCCAACCCTTGGTATTACAGCTTCGCATCTCATCCACACACTCCCTTCACAAACCCCAACAACCCTCCACGTTATGTGTCTGACGATCATAGTGCAGGTGCAGCGCACCTAGCGAGCCATCTGGGCTCCGCTAGTGCGCCGCTCTTCATCTCGATTGGACCGTTTGCTTGTGAGTCGACACATTTGTGGTCGGCAAATGCAGCGCTGGCACGCACGTGAATGGTGATAGAAATATTCTCGATAATGTAAGTTTACTGCTACAATCAACACTCAACCTTGGGATTAGGCAGTACACGGTGCTGTAGTCATGACTGTAACGCAACCATGCGTCGAACGATCATATCAACCAACTTTGGCTGGTAAATAGTATGAAGCGCATTGTCTGTAGAACGTCGCGAACGAAGTATAATTGCCCTATCCACGTAACACTGTAAATCAAATTAATAATATTTTCGGGTTTAGTGTAGTGATGGTATCGTGATAACGTAAAATGCGCGATGCGCCTCGCGACGAGGTTTATTCTGGAATATAGGGGAATAACCTTAGCACGGAGTACCAACCTAGCCATAAGGTTGGGTTGCAATTGACAAGTCGTGAGTCTTGGGCTGAGGAAATCCCTTAGGATTGTTGGCAAGAATTTGGCTTAGGATAATAATGTATAACGAACGCGTCTGAGTGAATTTATTGAACCGCCTTGTACTGGTGTGTAAGAAGAAGAGAAGTTTATTATAGCAATATCGTACAATGGCTTTATACATGATTACACGGAATATGAAATATTTTATTTAACTGCTGTTGTTTATGCTGTTGCGGTTCGATACATCGACGACTCTGGTAGTTGCTCCGCACGAGCCTATAGTGTGTCATTGCTGTCGCGCAAATATTTAATTTAACTGCTGTTGTTTATGCTGTCGTGCTGACCTTTAGCATTCGCTTAATCCCTTTCTGTTGCTTTTGTCTCGACGGTTGACTCGATGTGGCTTCGCTGTAGTTCGCTTCGCTTACGTTCTAGTGTTTCGAAACTTCAGGTTTCAAACACTCCGCTTCGCGTCTGGAGTGTCATTGCTAGTGACGTGGCGTTGTGCTGTCAGCACCATGCTGTATTCAAATGTGTGCTTTCCAAGTTTATTAGTCAAGAAATCTGCTGCCATCTCAGATGTGAGGCAGCAGTACAGCCCGAGTCTCCTTATCTTGACCTCGTCCTTCACGAAGAGATATCGTACGGCGATGTGCTTCGTTCGACTCGCGAGCCCGTTCTTGTTCGCTATGCGAATAGCCGATTGGTTGTCGTAGGAGAGAGAAGCTGGGTAACTGGGCCAGCTTTGCTTCTTCCAGTAGTTCGCGAAGGTACAGTCCTTCCTTGGTGGCTGAGCATAGCGAAGTGTATTCAGCTTCATGTGAGTGGAGAGCAATCAGCTCCTGCTTGCTCGACTATCTCGAGATAGGACCGACGGGCTCGAGTCAAGGGATATGGCCGGTGCGCGATCGCTAGTTGTTGGAATCGCCATCGTGATCGGCATCCATGTAGCCGTTAAGTTTTGGAGTCGTGGTTCCGGTTTTGTGGTAGGTTAGCCCGACTGTCAATGTCCTGACGAGTAGTGCAGTGAGCGATCGAGTTCAGCCACGTGTTTCGCTTCGGGATTACGGAGATAAGTGGCGAGTTGGCTCGCTGGGTACGATAGGTCCTGTCGGCAGGTAACGAACGTGAAAAGCAGTCATGCAGACTTTTGTTGGTAGTTCCGAAGGTCAGTAAGTCCGAGCGGAGTACATGCTTAGGGTGATTTTTCACAGTGTAGCGATATGGCGTGGAGATGGCGGATGGTGTTGCTCCGAAGCGTTTTGCAATGGTGTCCCTTTTTTGCGGCTCTGCGGTACATTAAGCTTTATTGGTTGGGTGTATTGAGTCCCAAGTACTGAGTTGCGGAGATAACTACTACAACGGGAGCTAGACTACGGGCTAGGCACGGGTGCTTGTGTGATCTCTGCGTTCGTTGGTCCTTAGTCGTTTTCCTAGTGCACAGACAGCTTGCTAGTTCAGAGGGAGAAGTGGCAAGAGTTTCACTAGAGTATGTTGACAACAATGATGCAATGAAGTTGGCTAGACAAGACTACATCAGAGCTAGGATGCAAGCAGGTCGACTGCCAGCGCAGCATGGTCGACCGCGTGCCAGCACGACTTGGTCTCCCGCGCTCCAGCAGTGCAGGGACGCGGCTTGCCAATGCTGCAAGTCGACGGCGTGACAACAGCGCAAGTCGACGGCGCGCCAGCGTTGCTCCTGCAGTCCAGGTCGACCAGCTCCTCGTCGACGTCACTCCTGGTCGACCAGCTCCTCGTCGACCAGCACAGTTGTCAGCCGACCCCAAAGTCGGCTACCCGAAGTCAGCGTGAGATCCTTCCGCATCTCCCCTTCGAACCCCGTGGTGATGCCGTAAGTGGAGCCTATATAGAGCAGATCGTCTACATAGACGACGAGCAGGATGTCCTCCGTGGCCATTGTGAGTTGGTATATTGACCGTGTGGGATTTGACGGAAGCCGGTGCGGACTAATCGGGTGTGCATGGAATGATGCTACGGCCGTGGGGCTTGTTTGCTGCCGTACAGTAACCTCAACAGCTGCCAGACTTTGTAGGGTATGTGACGTATCCGTGCGGCTGTTCGACGAAAATTTCTGTATCAACGGGAGCATAGAGGTATGCGCTGGCCACGTCTAATTGGCGCAGATTCTGCAGTTACATGCCGACTATCGCGACGAGGATTCGCAATGAGGTATGTCGGTTGTCCGGGGTGAAGGTCTCCGTGAAAGTCCGTCCGTGCTCTTTGTCTAAACCTCGCACGGTGCGTCCGTAGTATGCTGTGTTGGTGCCGATGCTCCATGGACTGATGTGACTAGGCCGAGAAATAAAAGCCCAAACTGTGTGCGTCGGGGGAGAATTGGATCCTCGGGATAGACTGCTTCATCTCCCGCATCTGTATCAGGTAAGATATTGGGGTCTATGCGGCCTGAGACGTTGGTGTTGATTGGCTGGGGTGTTACGTAGCCGTTGTCGGCAACGTCGTAGTAGATTTTAGCAAAGTCGTAGTGGACCGTTGTCGTTGATGCTTTTGCGAGGTTTGTCGTCATCCATCGGGACGGGTATCGAACAGTACCGTAGAGGTCCAGCTTCTCCCGATGCTCCATCCACGTCTTGCTCATCCAAGTCAGCCTCATCTACTGCAAGGTCGAAGATTCGGACGCCATTGAAGCTGCTCGTAGGGTCTCGTTACGTGCGTCCAATCTAGTCGTCGGCGTTGCCCATGCGAGGTTGGGGGCCAACACTTCCTCATTTAAAGGAGCGTCCTTTCGCAAACAAGTACGCTCAACCGACCAATAAAAGAGATTACAAGTGAAGGCCCTGGCACATTGACATTTGCGAAAATCCCACAAAATATGTCACATATCAGACAGTCGTAACAGATCGAGAGCATTCATCACCACGCGAAACGGTTAAGCAACAAGGTATCGACCTCACCATCGAGCGATATGAACGGCTCGTTTGATGCTATGTATCTCAATGACCTGGTAACGCTCGCCCTCATCAGCCCACCTAAGTCTAATACACCGAGTAGTCTTATCCTTCGTAGGCAGTGCCTGGTAGTACTTGAGAAAAGCATACTTCTTGGTCATACCATCTACCTTGCAGTGAAACAGCAAAATTTTCTTTGCATACCACTCTTCCGTCCCTCGATCGGTCTCCCCCTTCACCGCCACGTCCGAGTACCATGGACGTCCATGGTGAATTGGTAGGGCACGTACACGATGGGGCAGTCGGCTGTACTGAACGTCAACTGCTGCTGGCATGGCCATCTCCCAGTGTACCTGTCAGTATAACAAGAATGAAAGAGATTACAAGTGAAGTGTGCCAGTAAATTGCTTGTCAGTCCAACGATTGAAAGCATCCCTGTCGCACACATTTTCTTTTTTTTACCTGTACGCTCTT